ATCGATGAAGTCAATGCACAACAAAATTAGAAAATGTTTATCAACAAGGTTGATAAAATAGTTTAGGGGACAATCCTTTTATTCGGCATAAAACTAGAGATATACTAGACCAAGAGCGAGCTTAAACAAACAAGAAATAAAAACAGACAACGACCATGCGCTCTCGAAAGCTAAAACCACGCAGAGGAGATGAATTTTCAACGACAAAATTTCAACGATTTTATTAAGATTTTAACACAAGAATCATTCAAAAAGGCAAGAATCAATTAATAAGACAAGAATTACTTAACGCCGAAACAAACAAACAAGATAAAAAATTCAAGAAGCAAAGCTGTGCGAAGCTGTGCGCATTTTTTGAATGGTGCTTCGCAAATGTGCGCAAACTACAGCTTGAAGTCTTGAAACGTTTTCTTACCTGCTGCCAGGCAAATACATGCATCCATCSAGGAACACACATCCTGTTAATAGGATATACCAGCAAGAAGCATAGTCTACAGTTCTGAAGAAAAAAAAGGGACAAAATCGCAAGAATTCCTCGCCTTACTTGATTTGTTTTGAAATGTGACATTTACAAAGAGCCCGCGCTTTTTGGGTCAGCTGGGAAATATTAGTTCCAGTGCCACCACGACCACGGATACACAGGAAACCCATTTTAAAATTGTTTTTTGTTTGTGAACGAAATAGGAAAAAATTGAAGATATTTCTTTATCGCTTTTTCAGGTTGTGCGGTAGACGTATCAAACTTAAAGTTTACTCACTCATAAAGAAGGTAGTTTGAATCGTATTCTTCATATCTTGCTGTCTGTGACATAACCCTGTGAAAAAAAATTAATATTCAGTTACAAATCCCCAACAAAACTATCCAAATATAAGACAATCCCCCCATACACTGGTCACACATATTTATAACCTCAATCAAATTCATAATCTAATAGTTGAAGTGATGATTTTGGCTGCCATGTTGACGGTTGGGCAAAGTTTTGCAAAACAACTAGGATACCATGGAAAATCGATGTCAAATAATCCCAATTGAATTCAAATCCTTCAAAGCAATTATTTTAAATTATTACCTTACTGATGATTCAAGGTAACCTCCCATTGCTTGCATGCCRCGCAAATGGAAAAATATAGTGTYGATTTCCTGAGGGAAATTAGATTAAAAAAAAAGAATTGAAATGAACAAATGGATAGAAATAATGAAACATTAACAGATTAATGAACAACTTAACAAACAAACAACTGTATAAATAAATGGATGGATGAAGAAATGAATGAATCAAAATATGAATGGAAAGACAAATGAATGGATGAACAAATGAATGGATGAACAAATGAATTGATGAACAAATGAATGGGTGAACAAATGAATGGATGAACAAATGAATTGATGAACAAATGAATGGGTGAACAAATGAGAAAATGGATGGATGGATGAATCAATGAATGTATTCATAACATCTATACACTCTTTAGACCTGAAAGCCCCAACTACTTCCTCAAGCTCTTATAATATAATGGTAAAGCTTCTTGGACATTTTAAACCTTTGATTACATTACTAATCCTTTTAAAACCAACTTGAACAGAACTAGACATTACATATTGTACAAAAAGTTGTTTTCTGTCTARACAAYAGCCAGATTAAAACGCAACACAGAGAACCAAAACAAACCAACACCTGTGTAAATTGTAATAATATTTGATTTGATAAGGAAATTTCCTCTTTTATTTTATAAAAGAAAGCATCTGAATCAAACGTGGACTCCTTTTATTTGCCAACCTCTTTATAATATATCAAAGTTTGTTTTTTTATTATATTAAAAACGTTACTGTACGTGCTGCAATCCTAATGCGTAAGGAAGTCAAAGCAGTCTTGGGGGTATTCTCTTAATGCAATATGTACACGTTTGTAGAAATGTAATACTTCGGTAGCATTTCAACCTTTATAATGCTAATGATGTGGGGATAATACCTTTTTTAGATTAGATTGTATGATTTGAATTTGAACTGGTATGTTTAAGATTTGACAACACTTTTCTTCTGTCGTACATCAGACTGTGATGTTTGTCCGTCTGTCTGTTTCTCTATGTATTCAATATATCTAAAATCCATAATATTTACTAAAAACTTAATTATCAATTTTCCTTCTGCATCTTTATGGTCATATAGAAGTAGATCATAATGTACTTTTTAAGTAAAAGGATTTTAATAAAAAATGTTTTTAAAACTAAAAAAAATATCACTCAGCATTATACAGGTACACTTTCTTTCTTGTTTTGTTTGTTTGTTGTTGTTTTTGGTTCTTTTTCTTAATGACAATATTTTTGAACAGTTGAGTTATTTTATTTTTTAAAAATGTAGCTTTGCAACACAAAATTAATAATTAAATAAAAAAAAATCAATTTAATATTAATCAAAATTTTAATTAAATTTATCAATTGTATTATTTATGGCACACTTTTGTAACACTATAGTCAAAATAAACAATTAATAAATTTATCAAATCCAGTGTTTCTCAATTTTTAAATAATTCCCCTTTTCTTTACATTAATAATTATCAATAAAACATTAATACTTATTAAGAAGACATGCATGCAAACAAAATCAGATTTTCTATTATTGTCATAGCCATGTATACCAGATGATAATTTATTTTATTCTCTATTGTATGCTGTAAGAAAATAATTCATTTCCATAAGGTGTTTTATATCGCACAGCAGGACAACAATATGTTTTCACCTTCAAATTTGAATTTCAAATTGATATAATCAAATCAATTGTTTGCTATATACTATAAGCTTTCGAAGTCCCTGTTTTGAAAAGATGAAAAGTCATATTGATCAAAGATAAAGTTTTTTTAAAAAGTTTTGTAAAAGTCATTTGAACAACTTCCAACACTTTTTTGCAGTTGATAACAAAACTTAAACTTAAATATTATAATGCTTTGTGCATTTGAATGTTTAACAGCTGTAGCAATACATCTTCATCAATCCTCAGTAGGAACTCTACTTTTGTCCAATCAAAATCATGACATTATTGGACAAAGTTTTATCAAGATGGTCAAAAAAATCTTAGTAAAAATTGGGCTTGGAATCAGCAAATCTGCAATGAACAAATTTTGTTCAAATCCACAAGAAAAATTGCCTAGATTCAACACTTCAATATTTTCATTTTTTTAGCAACCTGCAAATCTCTAATTAAGAACATCTGAAATTCCAAAAATTCTGTACTAAAAAAATGACTGTGTCAGCTGTTCTGAAAACCCTCACTTCCACCTCGTCAACTTTCCATTTAGTATTTTGTATTACTATGTACACCACAGACTATAATTGGAAACCAAAATGAAACTTCAGAAATATTAAACATGTGGCCCAAAGACATGTATTCGTAAGGTAATGGCAATAATATTTATAGAAACTCTGTATTGTTCTCTTATTTAAAGAATAGTACATGTATGGCTACACCCAAAAAGTGCACCTTCTACTAACTATAATACCTTGAGAACACAATTAAGGCACCTTGCAAGATTTTATAGTATCTTGCCTAAGTGGTAGAAATTAAAAAATTTAGGATTTGAAAGCCATGGCTATGGACCTTAAGTCCAGTGACAGCCTTAACAACTACCAGACAATCACATTCCTATGAAATGATGGATTTTGGAGATAATTCATTGCCAAATGGTGACTAACATTATCAAAATAATGTTACTTATATTATTATAACGTCAGATAAAAAAAACCAATAATAATAATATTAATAATAAATGTGATGCTCGCTTATGTCTGATGATGGGCAATTTTTTATAACTAATTTTCTCTCATCTCTGATGTATAATGCATAATATAGAATTCAAAACATTGAAGAGTTTCCATTTTTCTTTTATGATTTTTTATAATTATTGAAAATGTGCTATGTTTTGGATGCTTTACAATAATTACACACAATTACAAATTGTCACCACATAATTAGAGAAATACTTTAAGTCAATAAAGAGAATGATTAAACATGCCTCTATCACCCTATACTTTCACAATCCAAGTGTGAACATGTATATTTACACTAGAAATGTGAAACTTTTTGAAATATCTTCCACTCAAAATATAATAAACTTCTTATTCTTTTATCGTTTATTTTTATGATAATATTAACTTATTTGTAAAAACAACATTCTTCTGATTCTTGCATTACTTGAGGAATTTAATGAGATGCATCGAAAATGATTGTCATGTAGAAATTGACAAGGTTTCGCTGGGTATGTCAATTTCAGTGTCTGTGAGCAGCGAAAAAAAAAAACGAGTACAAAATTTCACTTTCGGGAAGTAAGCATAATTACTTGCTCAACATTTTGAAGCTCAATTAAAGTACAAATTTGAACTTACCTCGATTGTTCGATATTCTGCAGGCTTTTGTAAGCATTTTATAAAATAGCTGTTCCCGCCATCGTTACTTTCATTGGCCATTTTAATCATATAATATTTATTCTATCCACTGGGAAAGATTGTTTTCCTTGTAAGTGTTAAAATAATACAATGTTCCGGGATAGACTCCATAGGACAATTTGTACTTGTGAAACCATGCCACAAAATGGCTACCCARAGTTGGAAGTTTGTTTACATTTCGTAAAAGTCTTGGCAAAACTGAGGTGAGTTTAATAATGCTGAATAAGAACAACTTAGGCGTTAGGTAAACTAATTCTTGTCACTTTCAAGTATTTTGAAGCGGGTACAAGCGGCAATAAGCTTGAGCTGAAGAAGATACGTCCGTTTTCTTGCTGTCAATATGAACTGTGTACTGCCAGGAACTCTGATATCTCTTGAATACAACACACATGCAAGGCGGAAGATCTTATAATTTATATCCTAGAAAAATGGATGTATTTTATCTGGTTTCTTCGGTCGAAAGATAACCAATTTTACTACATAAACGGGTCTTTAACACTGGCTGGCACTCTTGAATTGTTAGAAATTATAGCTGCAGACGGTTCGCAGACGACAAGTAAACTTAAAGATTCGGCTTCTTCAAAACTTGTACGTAACTGGATCTTTTGCAACTTCAAAAGAAGTTAATTCAGACTTCCACAGACAAATTATGCTTTATAAAACCTCAAAACTAGCAATGTAACAAGTTTAAAGTTTAGAATATTAAAAGAAATGGCCAATCTTCCTCACGTTAGGTTAGTATATCTCAAGCTTTGTGAAGTTGTGAAGGAAAATCAAACAATCCGACCTTTATGCCTTCAGTCCAGACCAACAGTAACTGAATTCTTCTTTATCTTTGCCCTGTAAGAGTTTCCTGAAGCAAGTATGTCGCTCTTTTCGTCGATATTCATAGAAACAACACAGAAGCCCTTAGTCAAATCCACATTCCATGTCCTCAGAACACTATGTCGGTCCACAAGGAAGCGATTTCCCAAAGCTTACATCAGTTCAATTGTAGTTTAAACCCAATACAATCAAATCAAGTAATTCTAGAGTAAGTTATTGGGAATTCCTTGGTCGGGGAACGAAAAACCGTAGCGTAATCCTYGTCGAGTTTGAAATATAATTATGTGGCCATTTTTACATATGATTTACATATTAATCACGAAAAGAATCCTGGAGTCACGTGATGTRCTCAAAGGGGCATGGTAACTAGTTGGCGGGAATTCAGAGCTTTTATCCCTTTTTTTCTCTCCATTTTTAAAAGTTTCTTTTAATTATTTATTTTTAACCTTGACGATTTCTCTTCATATGAGCTTGTCACAACAAATTCAAAATATCTGAATTTTGTATAATTTTTGAAAAGATTTTATTATAATTTCTTACGAAAAATCCCTTAAAAAAAGAAATTGATGGTATTTTTTTTTTTGCAGATGTTTATAGGAATTCATCTATAAATTCATAAAACATGGTTTTGTATAAATCATGAATTTATCAAGCAATTTATTAGACCTAAACATACAGATTCTGCTTAGGCTGACTGGCTCCACTCCAATTACATCTAATAGTCATAAATTATTTTTTTAMGYCTTGAAAGTGAAAARTTACTTTCTTGTGATTTCTTTTGCTTTCTATAGCTACATATTGCGATGTTGTTACGCAATTCTTTGAAATTGCGTGACTGGGGGTGTGTGCTCGTTGAAGCGCTGATGCCGCTGATCCGTGACGTAGTAGTTATGACGTATTTCTAGCTCAACACTATACACATTATTCCAAAATGGCTGACTAGCCCTTGATGTCTCGTTTTCATGAAATTGTTTTTTTTCTTTTAAAGTCACTCAAGCTCAAAGACAAAAGAATAATTTTATGAAAACGAGACATCAAGGGCTAGTTAGCCATTTTGGAATAATGTGTATTCGCTCGTCAAATCACGATTTCGTTTTAAAATAGAAATTGTTAGTCTGTTCGTGGATGGTTTCGTTCACGCGTCACGCGTCACGCGTCACGGCTGCGAGGAGACTAAGAAATTGTATGAGCGTACGGTTTAAGAATGCGGATTTCGGAGACAACAGAAATATCAGGCTGGCAATGCTTTGCCCATAGTAGAACCCTTGGGTGAACGCAGAATTCCTTGTTTTACTCCATCCAAATTCATGTATGTTATTGAATGTTAACTGANACTGTCATAATTTTGGATATTATTCAGACGCAGATGTAGACAAACAAAAATATCATTTAAGAACATCATAAAATTTCATTTGAATTACCTCTTGTGAGGAATGCGACTCTGCTTCTTCTTCATCATCAGAATCAACTGAAACATGAATTATATCAGTATTAATTTAGATAATGATAGAGTTTAATGAAAGTAGACATGAGATGGATAGATATATGTACCTATGCTTTCCACCAGCCCTGACAGATCAAGTTCTAAGTGGTCCGATGATTGACTTTTTTTCTCTTCATGTATAGCATGAGGAGTTTTACTCTCTTTTTTCTTTATGTTATGTTCGCTTCTTATTAGAATATCTTTCACTTGTTGCAACTCCATGGGAAGCTGTGAGAATGTTAATGATAAGTCATGATACAGAAAAAACAGAGTGTTTTTCTATCTGTCTGACATTTATTAATGAATGCTATTCACATATGAAGAAATTCAGGTTGAAATCTTTATATCATTACAAGCATAAAACTGAGTCCTACAATACGAAAGCCCCCACACCCTCCCCCTCAATACAGTACGTCCWACTAAAATCAAACCTAGTGTGCCAATTTTCAACTACAGTAGTTAAGCATTATTTTTATGTACATATAAGACTGGTTCAGGCTAAGAAAAGTCTAAGTTCTTATGCTAATGGCACAGTATCCTACAGCCTGTTGTTCCCAGTACCTGCTCATCCTTAACTGGGACAGGGCCTCCAATGCGAAAATCCTCAGATTCAAGAGCTAACAGCTTCTCTAGCTCATTAGTTGAATATGAATGTCTTTGAAATGGTTGCAGGAGATTTTCATGAGGGTAATCAATCTAAAACAACAAAAATTTTGTATCAGTTACTGTAAATACTCCCTTGAGAGGGTCACTGGCAGATTATTGGATGCTGTAGAGAGGGACTCGTAGCAGGGTGAATAGAATCATTTCTTGAGATCATTGAAAAATAATGATTGGTTGAGGCTGAGTATGATATGAAGAATTATCAATTGTGGCTAATGCAATATGAACAGTGAGACTAATATGATTGATACAGAGTATGATATGAAGAATTATTGGTTAAGGTTGAGTATGATATGAAGAATTAATGGACAAGGTTGAGCACAATATAAAGAATTATTGGTTGAAGTAAAATTCTATATAAAAAAAATTAATTAATTAATTAGGGCTGAGCTAGTATGATATGTATATTATTGCTTGATACTGAGTATGATATGAAGACTTATTGGTTGAGCTTGTATGATATGAAATATTATTGCTTGATACCAACTATGATATGAAGAGTTGTTGGAATGGCTGAATATGATAATTGAATAATATAAATAGTGAAGTTCACTGAAAACATACCACTATCATTCCAGATCTCTCTAGTACAAGACATTGTGTTCCTCTGGTACCATCAGACCCATGGGGTTGCTTCCCAAAACTGCAAAACGAAAATAAGCTTATGTTATGATCGATGAAGTCAATGCACAACAAAATTAGAAAATGTTTATCAACAAGGTTGATAAAATAGTTTAGGGGACAATCCTTTTATTCGGCATAAAACTAGAGATATACTAGACCAAGAGCGAGCTTAAACAAACAAGAAATAAAAACAGACAACGACCATGCGCTCTCGAAAGCTAAAACCRCGCAGAGGAGATGAATTTTCAACGACAAAATTTCAACGATTTTAWTAAGATTTTAACACAAGAATCATTCAAAAAGGCAAGAATCAATTAATAAGACAAGAATTACTTAACGCCGAAACAAACAAACAAGATAAAAAATTCAAGAAGCAAAGCTGTGCGAAGCTGTGCGCATTTTTTGAATGGTGCTTCGCAAATGTGCGCAAACTACAGCTTGAAGTCTTGAAACGTTTTCTTACCTGCTGCCAGGCAAATACATGCATCCATCSAGGAACACACATCCTGTTAATAGGATATACCAGCAAGAAGCATAGTCTACAGTTCTGAAGAAAAAAAAGGGACAAAATCGCAAGAATTCCTCGCCTTACTTGATTTGTTTTGAAATGTGACATTTACAAAGAGCCCGCGCTTTTTGGGTCAGCTGGGAAATATTAGTTCCAGTGCCACCACGACCACGGATACACAGGAAACCCATTTTAAAATTGTTTTTTGTTTGTGAACGAAATAGGAAAAAATTGAAGATATTTCTTTATCGCTTTTTCAGGTTGTGCGGTAGACGTATCAAACTTAAAGTTTACTCACTCATAAAGAAGGTAGTTTGAATCGTATTCTTCATATCTTGCTGTCTGTGACATAACCCTGTGAAAAAAAATTAATATTCAGTTACAAATCCCCAACAAAACTATCCAAATATAAGACAATCCCCCCATACACTGGTCACACATATTTATAACCTCAATCAAATTCATAATCTAATAGTTGAAGTGATGATTTTGGCTGCCATGTTGACGGTTGGGCAAAGTTTTGCAAAACAACTAGGATACCATGGAAAATCGATGTCAAATAATCCCAATTGAATTCAAATCCTTCAAAGCAATTATTTTAAATTATTACCTTACTGATGATTCAAGGTAACCTCCCATTGCTTGCATGCCRCGCAAATGGAAAAATATAGTGTYGATTTCCTGAGGGAAATTAGATTAAAAAAAAAGAATTGAAATGAACAAATGGATAGAAATAATGAAACATTAACAGATTAATGAACAACTTAACAAACAAACAACTGTATAAATAAATGGATGGATGAAGAAATGAATGAATCAAAATATGAATGGAAAGACAAATGAATGGATGAACAAATGAATGGATGAACAAATGAATTGATGAACAAATGAATGGGTGAACAAATGAATGGATGAACAAATGAATTGATGAACAAATGAATGGGTGAACAAATGAGAAAATGGATGGATGGATGAATCAATGAATGTATTCATAACATCTATACACTCTTTAGACCTGAAAGCCCCAACTACTTCCTCAAGCTCTTATAATATAATGGTAAAGCTTCTTGGACATTTTAAACCTTTGATTACATTACTAATCCTTTTAAAACCAACTTGAACAGAACTAGACATTACATATTGTACAAAAAGTTGTTTTCTGTCTARACAAYAGCCAGATTAAAACGCAACACAGAGAACCAAAACAAACCAACACCTGTGTAAATTGTAATAATATTTGATTTGATAAGGAAATTTCCTCTTTTATTTTATAAAAGAAAGCATCTGAATCAAACGTGGACTCCTTTTATTTGCCAACCTCTTTATAATATATCAAAGTTTGTTTTTTTATTATATTAAAAACGTTACTGTACGTGCTGCAATCCTAATGCGTAAGGAAGTCAAAGCAGTCTTGGGGGTATTCTCTTAATGCAATATGTACACGTTTGTAGAAATGTAATACTTCGGTAGCATTTCAACCTTTATAATGCTAATGATGTGGGGATAATACCTTTTTTAGATTAGATTGTATGATTTGAATTTGAACTGGTATGTTTAAGATTTGACAACACTTTTCTTCTGTCGTACATCAGACTGTGATGTTTGTCCGTCTGTCTGTTTCTCTATGTATTCAATATATCTAAAATCCATAATATTTACTAAAAACTTAATTATCAATTTTCCTTCTGCATCTTTATGGTCATATAGAAGTAGATCATAATGTACTTTTTAAGTAAAAGGATTTTAATAAAAAATGTTTTTAAAACTAAAAAAAATATCACTCAGCATTATACAGGTACACTTTCTTTCTTGTTTTGTTTGTTTGTTGTTGTTTTTGGTTCTTTTTCTTAATGACAATATTTTTGAACAGTTGAGTTATTTTATTTTTTAAAAATGTAGCTTTGCAACACAAAATTAATAATTAAATAAAAAAAAATCAATTTAATATTAATCAAAATTTTAATTAAATTTATCAATTGTATTATTTATGGCACACTTTTGTAACACTATAGTCAAAATAAACAATTAATAAATTTATCAAATCCAGTGTTTCTCAATTTTTAAATAATTCCCCTTTTCTTTACATTAATAATTATCAATAAAACATTAATACTTATTAAGAAGACATGCATGCAAACAAAATCAGATTTTCTATTATTGTCATAGCCATGTATACCAGATGATAATTTATTTTATTCTCTATTGTATGCTGTAAGAAAATAATTCATTTCCATAAGGTGTTTTATATCGCACAGCAGGACAACAATATGTTTTCACCTTCAAATTTGAATTTCAAATTGATATAATCAAATCAATTGTTTGCTATATACTATAAGCTTTCGAAGTCCCTGTTTTGAAAAGATGAAAAGTCATATTGATCAAAGATAAAGTTTTTTTAAAAAGTTTTGTAAAAGTCATTTGAACAACTTCCAACACTTTTTTGCAGTTGATAACAAAACTTAAACTTAAATATTATAATGCTTTGTGCATTTGAATGTTTAACAGCTGTAGCAATACATCTTCATCAATCCTCAGTAGGAACTCTACTTTTGTCCAATCAAAATCATGACATTATTGGACAAAGTTTTATCAAGATGGTCAAAAAAATCTTAGTAAAAATTGGGCTTGGAATCAGCAAATCTGCAATGAACAAATTTTGTTCAAATCCACAAGAAAAATTGCCTAGATTCAACACTTCAATATTTTCATTTTTTTAGCAACCTGCAAATCTCTAATTAAGAACATCTGAAATTCCAAAAATTCTGTACTAAAAAAATGACTGTGTCAGCTGTTCTGAAAACCCTCACTTCCACCTCGTCAACTTTCCATTTAGTATTTTGTATTACTATGTACACCACAGACTATAATTGGAAACCAAAATGAAACTTCAGAAATATTAAACATGTGGCCCAAAGACATGTATTCGTAAGGTAATGGCAATAATATTTATAGAAACTCTGTATTGTTCTCTTATTTAAAGAATAGTACATGTATGGCTACACCCAAAAAGTGCACCTTCTACTAACTATAATACCTTGAGAACACAATTAAGGCACCTTGCAAGATTTTATAGTATCTTGCCTAAGTGGTAGAAATTAAAAAATTTAGGATTTGAAAGCCATGGCTATGGACCTTAAGTCCAGTGACAGCCTTAACAACTACCAGACAATCACATTCCTATGAAATGATGGATTTTGGAGATAATTCATTGCCAAATGGTGACTAACATTATCAAAATAATGTTACTTATATTATTATAACGTCAGATAAAAAAAACCAATAATAATAATATTAATAATAAATGTGATGCTCGCTTATGTCTGATGATGGGCAATTTTTTATAACTAATTTTCTCTCATCTCTGATGTATAATGCATAATATAGAATTCAAAACATTGAAGAGTTTCCATTTTTCTTTTATGATTTTTTATAATTATTGAAAATGTGCTATGTTTTGGATGCTTTACAATAATTACACACAATTACAAATTGTCACCACATAATTAGAGAAATACTTTAAGTCAATAAAGAGAATGATTAAACATGCCTCTATCACCCTATACTTTCACAATCCAAGTGTGAACATGTATATTTACACTAGAAATGTGAAACTTTTTGAAATATCTTCCACTCAAAATATAATAAACTTCTTATTCTTTTATCGTTTATTTTTATGATAATATTAACTTATTTGTAAAAACAACATTCTTCTGATTCTTGCATTACTTGAGGAATTTAATGAGATGCATCGAAAATGATTGTCATGTAGAAATTGACAAGGTTTCGCTGGGTATGTCAATTTCAGTGTCTGTGAGCAGCGAAAAAAAAAAACGAGTACAAAATTTCACTTTCGGGAAGTAAGCATAATTACTTGCTCAACATTTTGAAGCTCAATTAAAGTACAAATTTGAACTTACCTCGATTGTTCGATATTCTGCAGGCTTTTGTAAGCATTTTATAAAATAGCTGTTCCCGCCATCGTTACTTTCATTGGCCATTTTAATCATATAATATTTATTCTATCCACTGGGAAAGATTGTTTTCCTTGTAAGTGTTAAAATAATACAATGTTCCGGGATAGACTCCATAGGACAATTTGTACTTGTGAAACCATGCCACAAAATGGCTACCCARAGTTGGAAGTTTGTTTACATTTCGTAAAAGTCTTGGCAAAACTGAGGTGAGTTTAATAATGCTGAATAAGAACAACTTAGGCGTTAGGTAAACTAATTCTTGTCACTTTCAAGTATTTTGAAGCGGGTACAAGCGGCAATAAGCTTGAGCTGAAGAAGATACGTCCGTTTTCTTGCTGTCAATATGAACTGTGTACTGCCAGGAACTCTGATATCTCTTGAATACAACACACATGCAAGGCGGAAGATCTTATAATTTATATCCTAGAAAAATGGATGTATTTTATCTGGTTTCTTCGGTCGAAAGATAACCAATTTTACTACATAAACGGGTCTTTAACACTGGCTGGCACTCTTGAATTGTTAGAAATTATAGCTGCAGACGGTTCGCAGACGACAAGTAAACTTAAAGATTCGGCTTCTTCAAAACTTGTACGTAACTGGATCTTTTGCAACTTCAAAAGAAGTTAATTCAGACTTCCACAGACAAATTATGCTTTATAAAACCTCAAAACTAGCAATGTAACAAGTTTAAAGTTTAGAATATTAAAAGAAATGGCCAATCTTCCTCACGTTAGGTTAGTATATCTCAAGCTTTGTGAAGTTGTGAAGGAAAATCAAACAATCCGACCTTTATGCCTTCAGTCCAGACCAACAGTAACTGAATTCTTCTTTATCTTTGCCCTGTAAGAGTTTCCTGAAGCAAGTATGTCGCTCTTTTCGTCGATATTCATAGAAACAACACAGAAGCCCTTAGTCAAATCCACATTCCATGTCCTCAGAACACTATGTCGGTCCACAAGGAAGCGATTTCCCAAAGCTTACATCAGTTCAATTGTAGTTTAAACCCAATACAATCAAATCAAGTAATTCTAGAGTAAGTTATTGGGAATTCCTTGGTCGGGGAACGAAAAACCGTAGCGTAATCCTYGTCGAGTTTGAAATATAATTATGTGGCCATTTTTACATATGATTTACATATTAATCACGAAAAGAATCCTGGAGTCACGTGATGTRCTCAAAGGGGCATGGTAACTAGTTGGCGGGAATTCAGAGCTTTTATCCCTTTTTTTCTCTCCATTTTTAAAAGTTTCTTTTAATTATTTATTTTTAACCTTGACGATTTCTCTTCATATGAGCTTGTCACAACAAATTCAAAATATCTGAATTTTGTATAATTTTTGAAAAGATTTTATTATAATTTCTTACGAAAAATCCCTTAAAAAAAGAAATTGATGGTATTTTTTTTTTTGCAGATGTTTATAGGAATTCATCTATAAATTCATAAAACATGGTTTTGTATAAATCATGAATTTATCAAGCAATTTATTAGACCTAAACATACAGATTCTGCTTAGGCTGACTGGCTCCACTCCAATTACATCTAATAGTCATAAATTATTTTTTTAMGYCTTGAAAGTGAAAARTTACTTTCTTGTGATTTCTTTTGCTTTCTATAGCTACATATTGCGATGTTGTTACGCAATTCTTTGAAATTGCGTGACTGGGGGTGTGTGCTCGTTGAAGCGCTGATGCCGCTGATCCGTGACGTAGTAGTTATGACGTATTTCTAGCTCAACACTATACACATTATTCCAAAATGGCTGACTAGCCCTTGATGTCTCGTTTTCATGAAATTGTTTTTTTTCTTTTAAAGTCACTCAAGCTCAAAGACAAAAGAATAATTTTATGAAAACGAGACATCAAGGGCTAGTTAGCCATTTTGGAATAATGTGTATTCGCTCGTCAAATCACGATTTCGTTTTAAAATAGAAATTGTTAGTCTGTTCGTGGATGGTTTCGTTCACGCGTCACGCGTCACGCGTCACGGCTGCGAGGAGACTAAGAAATTGTATGAGCGTACGGTTTAAGAATGCGGATTTCGGAGACAACAGAAATATCAGGCTGGCAATGCTTTGCCCATAGTAGAACCCTTGGGTGAACGCAGAATTCCTTGTTTTACTCCATCCAAATTCATGTATGTTATTGAATGTTAACTGACAAACAAATAATCATATATCCAAAGGGTCTCAAATGGGACAAACATTGCCCAAGCCAAGTTCTCTAAGGAAGTCTAAACTTATGGGCTTGAAACCATCAATACCACAGGAAATCCACATTCTCTCCGGTGAAGCGTGCCGCACTCAAGAAAAGTGCAAACGTACTGCTTTGTTTCGGTTTGTTTCTTTTTTGTTGTTAATTTTTTGTTTTGCTGTTGTTGTTGTTATTTGTTTTGATTTTTTAGTTTGTTTGTTTTTCTGCTGTTTGTTTTACTGTTGTTGTTTTTTCTGTTGTTGTTTGTTTTGTTGTTGTTGTTTGTTTGTTTGACGAGGAAGCCACTTCAATGCTAGTAGAAATTNCTCAACAAGGAAGCCACCTCAATGCCATCAGAAATCACTCCAACAAGGAAGCCACCTCAATGCCATCAGAAATCATCTCAACAAGGAAGCCACCTCAATGCCATCAGAAATCACTCCAACAAGGAAGCCACCTCAATGCCATCAGAAATCACCTCAACAAGGAAGCCACAGTCAATGCCATCAGAAATCACCTCAACAAGGAAGCCACTTCAATGACATCAGAAATCACCTCAACAAGGAAGCCACCTCAATGCCGTCAGAAATCACGTCAAAGAGGAAGCCACCTCGATGCCATCAGACACCTCAACAAGGAAGCTACCTCAATGTCATGACTAGAAATCACATCAACGAGGAAGCCACCTCAATGCCAATATAAATTACATCAACGGGAAACCCACTTCAAGGAATCCATAGCACCTCAGCGAGAAGCCAACCATAATTTAGAAATAATTCAACAAGGAAGACACTTCAATGCCAAAAACAAATCACCTTCATCATAATGAGGAGACCACCTCAATGAATAGACAAGAGTATAACATCAGTAAAGACTGAGGTATCGCAATTCCATCACAAGTTAGGCATCTCAATGTCAACAAGTCCATTCTGAACCCAGTTCAATGTCAATACAGCTAGCCTCAATGAGAAAGCCACATCAATACTGGCCACTTTTGAACCCACTTCAACGGCCAGTCCTGAGGCTTATTTTGGGTGAAAGAATAAATGCATGGATGAAGGGACGGAGGGAGGGAAGGGAGGGGTGTATGGATGGATACATGAAACTGGGTAGATGGATTCGTGGATGGATGGATGCATTAATTAATGAA